CCCAGACCAACACTGTGACCACCACTGGATCAATAGTAATTAATACATTGAAGACAGTAGGTTACACCCACTAGACATTATCTAGACAGCCATAGGATATATCAGAGTCCCAGCTCCAACTTCAGAAATGCCTTCCAAGGTCAGAGCTGACACTCCGAACTTAGAACACCTTTCCTCTGCCCTCAAAGCCAGAGCAGCTTTTCCATGCCAGCCGGAGTGCAAAGTCACAAAAACGATGGCCAAGCTGGTGTGGGTGGGATGTGAAGGGGAGGCGTGAGACTCTGCCAAGCTACAAAGAATCCCAACAGTGCTTCAGCGCCTCCTCTTTGCAAGCAAGAGCAGTGGGCCTAGGCAACCCAAATTGTCCTTCGGTGTCTTTTGCAAAACAGACGCACAGAGGCCATCTTCCTACCAACTTAATTGGATAGCCACAATCCTCCCAAGTCAGTGAGTTACATCCAGCCACACTAGCTGGCACCTGCCATAATAAATAATTCGTTGCTTGTCATGATATCTGAGGCAGTTGCCAGACTGTAAAGTCAATGTCTTGATTCGGCAGACATATAAGCCCAAGGAAGCATATAAGTCACGCCAGCCTTACATTTAGCTCAGGGCCCCTGTTGCGTCACAGAGAGGATCCCGAGACATCCTCCTGCAGGTACCGCAGGGGATACAGTAGAAGCTCAAATGGGAAGATCACTAGCAGCCCTTGCCCAGAGTTCACCTCCAAAGAGCTGGTAGCACTGCTGCTCATATCCAGGTGAATCCAAGCCCAGGAAATGGGTTCATCAGAGATTGGGTCTGTAGTCTGGGGTACTTCTAGTTCCATCATGACCACTGAAGTCCAAAGTGGCTCTGGTGGACCCAGAGCACGGGAGTTTCTCAGACACAGACCAAGAAGCCCTGTCTCTTGACCCCATGATGTAGCATCAACAGCGGAGAGTGGCCCACTTAGAGGATCAGCATGCAGCAAGGGCATGTGCTCATTTTCAGAAGACCCCTCCCAAAGGGGTGGGGCCCAGGCATGCTCATAAGGAGAGTTCCTGGAGGTGAATACTAGATGGGTTCAATAAATTCCTCTGTGCATGCTCAGAGACTCATTCAGGGTGTTTTGTGCTTTTTGGCCAATAAAGAACGTTTTACAAGTAAAAGGGTTTGTGGCTTTTAAATGCGCAAAGGAGGAACCTCAGCTCTGGACAGCTACAGTGATGTAGCTGCTGGTTCCCTAAAGGGTGGATTACTGCAATGTGCTCAATGTAGAGTTGCCCTTAAGCTTGCTCTGGAAGCTGGAGCTGGTGCAGCTGCTCAGATATCGTCAAGAGCTGCCTCTTTTCAACATGTAACTCCCTTACTAAAGGAACTCTCCTGGCCACCTGTTTGGCACACAGTCAGCTTTAAGGTTTTAGTACTTGTGCACAAAGCTCCAAACAACTTGCAATGGGGTACCTGAGAAAGTACCTTCTTCTTTACCAGCTGCCCAGGCACGGAAGCTATTGGAGGATATTCTCCTGGTGGTTCCATGACAACCCATGGCCCAACTAGACTGCACCAGGAGAAGCCTTCAGTGTGGCAGCCCATTTTCCATGTAATTCCAGCATCGTGAGGTAAGGCTTGGACAAGTACTGCACTGGTTTCACCATTGCTAAAGACAGGAAGCCTTTCTTGCTGACTGGCCATGATCATAATGTTATAACATTTTCTATTTTTAAAAAGCATTGTCTTTAATCTTTCATTTGTTTTTACCTTCTACTGTTCTACAGTTATCTTCCAGGTTCCACACTGGAACCTGCTTGGATGTGGAGTGATATATAAATACCGAACATTTGAGAGAGAGAGAGAGAGAGAGAGTGTTAGTGGTCAGATAAGTAACTGGAATTCATAGATTGGATGACACTCTCACATCATCTGAATTAAGTCAGGATATGGATATATCTGTATTCTCACTAGTTTAAAGATTTTAAGTTTAAAGCTTTTTGAGATCTGGTTGCTTCAAGACTGACTGCTCCCAGATGAAAATACCTTCCCTTAAAATTGGCACTTGTGGACTTTCCCTCACATGACACAAGGTATCAGCACCTAATACTTTGAGCTGGTGTCCATGTTGTAGAATTTCCTTGCCTTGGAAATCCATCAGGAAAGATCCTTCTTTTTTTAGCATTTAGGCTATAATCCTAGCAAGTTCAGACAGGGAAAACTCCCTGACCAAACATGCATAGGGTTACACCCTTAGATGCTCACTGAAAATTGGTTTATTTCTACAAGGCTTTGGTTTTTGAATAGTTATCATAATGTAATGTTTACTCGCTAGTAGATGTGGGAAGAAAAATTGTTTTCATATCAGCCTACCTAATTTGCACTTTCAGGATCATATGCACTTATCCTTCACTATCTACATTCAGCCAAATTCTGTGATACCGTTTTGTGAATAATACTCATTTCCGGAGGGAAATAACATACAAAAAAGCATTATATTAGAGGAACATCTCTTGCAAAAATGTGCATATTAGGCAACATTGGATACAAAAATGTATATAACTTTGGAGAAAAGTTTGTGAAAATGTACATAAATTTGCATGTGAACCTTTAAAAAATTAATTAATTACAAAGTGATGCAGAAATGGTTGCCAGGAATGGTAAATATGAAGCCTGAATTGATCTCCATGTCGATTGTTAATAGTCAGAACAGACTGACTGGCTCAGCATAAATCAAGCTGAATTGGTGGTGGAAAAACCAACCTCCCCGTGCTAGTGCTGCCTTTTTAAGGTATCCTTTCCCCACTTCATGCTACCAGAACATTTGGGTGGGGATGGAAGAAGTGATCAGGAAACAACAAAGTTGTTGAAGCCTTGATCTATTTTACAAGTTCTAATTTAGTCTATAAATCTAGGTTGTTAAGAACTGAAATAATGTGTATTCCACAAGATTCCACTCGTGTGCTTACACATTGAGAAGGCTTAAGTATTCTGGCTTCACAAATAAGTCCTGTGGTGAACCAGAGCTTTAGTATTATGTCTGTAGCAGTGTTTAACCCCATTAAGGAAGCAAAATCTTTTCAAGGCAGTGGAGCTAAGTTGCTGAGCATAGGGCAAATTGTGTAGATGAGGAACACCTGCCAGAAGAAGCTGCCTTTGCCCCTTGGCTTGTTTAGCACAGTGCGGTTGCCACTGGGCCAGGAGGCATTACCTGACACCCCACTGTAGGGGATGACAGGTATGGCTGCAGCATGTGAAGCTGCAGGAAGAGACAGATGCTAGTGCTGCCATTTTACACATCCAACCCCCAACTGAAGATGTCATTTCATGTGGGCTCAGTGAGCATGGACATCATATTGACAAGAAGTATTGAAACTGAAGTTCTTGAGTTCAACCATGACTTATTAGCATAACTTTTCAAAACATTTCATGTACAGAAAACAATTTTTGTTCCATAAAATTTATTAAGAAACCTGGAAAGGATGGATTCTATGGGTGATGGTGCATGGCAATTCTAAGTTAGTGGAGCAATTTGAAAGCCAGTGCGGTGTTGTGGTTAAAATGTTGGACTGGGGACCCAGGAGATCTGGCATCTGGTTCCCACATGGGCATGAAATCCACTTGGATGACTTGGGTGGGCCAGTCACAGGCTCCCTGTGGAGGGGGGTGGGGAGAGAGAGAGACTCAGACTCTACTGTAGTGGGTTCAGACAACACAAAGTACACTGTATAACTTGGCTTGCATTCACTGAGCCTCAGTGTTCCTGACAAGAAAATCATGACTCTGGAGAAACCTGCACCCACCTCAGTCCTGCTGCAAGGTTTTCTCTCCTTCCTGACACTGGTTCTGGGTAAGATACTAAGCAAGCAAGCACTGCTTTGAAGCCATGCTTAGTGTGTCATGTGAAACCAGTCACTGTGTTTTGCTTCTGCTGGGGAACAATATTGTATGAGCTGCTAGAGCTGGTCTTCAAAATTTAGTCCCCTTCCCTGGGAGTAGGGGTAGGAAGCTGATGCATGTTCTCTCAAGAACAGATACATGCCAACACCTGTACATATTATTTGCATCCCATCTTTCTCCCTGGCAACAGTCCTCCAAAGCAGGTGAGTTAATGCAAAGAATACCGTCATTAATAAGAATTTATTTTTAAAGACAGTGGTGACTTCTGAAGAATCTGGAAAATGATGAAAAATTTCTTTTCACTAGGGCCTTGATGTTACTGCTTAACAATAATGCCTCGTTTCTCAAATTCCAGACTTTAATTTTAAACCAGGGGTGGAAAACTGGTTCATCCCTGGTTCATTCATTAACCATGGGCATGGAGCACAGTAGGAACTGGAGATCAGCATCATCTGGAAGGCTGCAGGCTACCCAGTGGTATTTTCAACAGCAGATACTATTGTTAGACAAATATTCTTTTCCTAGCAAATCTTTAGTCAGGGTTGTCTTCAGATTCTTTCTGGATCTACTGCACTGATGCTTCTTGCTTCGCACAGCAGCCTATCCAGCCTGTTGAAAATGCTAGTCAGGAAATTCTGCTGATTGGGCTAAATGATGGTACGAGTGCAGGAAGACCCCCAACATCAGGCAGAAAAGCCTTCTGTGAGTGGAGATGTTCTTATGGGAGGTCCTTTCACATAGCAAATTCTGGATGCAAACTCTAAAGAACATTTACAATCAGGATTCATAACTGCAGCATAAACAAGATTGAGGTAGTATCCTGGAGTATGTAACAGTGGAGCTTGGGCAGGCACCTTTAGTAAGAAATAGGAACAGTTCCTTGTCTGCATCTGTGAAGCACAGAGGGATATGTGATTCCAAGGCATGATTTAAAGGCAACTAAACACAACTAAGCTGCTCTTGGTCTAAAGGGGAGACTACCTAGGAACGCTGTATACTTGCCTTTGATGCCATGTTCGCAGAAATGTAGAGATATATAATAAAATATTTTGCAATTTGTAGCTAAAAAAAGAAACCCCTCTGAAAACTTTAACTGTTTTTCTTCGTTAAATCAAGACAATCACAGATATTTTTCCCAAATCTTTGGCTGTATTGCAATGGTTGTTTCAATCTGTAGTCTTCAGCTAAACATTTCCTATCCATGGGTTAACAATATATTTTACCAACGTGTGTTTTTTAACAGTATTTATCCAACATAACAAAATAAACTGCAATTTGTTATACTTTTTTTACAAAACATTTTATAAATATTTTTACAAAATGTATACAAAGCAATTTCAAGTGAGACATACTATACAAATGAAAGTATTTAAGCAAATAAAAGTCCATACCACACTGACAATAAGTGACAAATCCTCTTTCAGTAAAGTCAGTCTGTAAGGCCTCCCAAATCTAACAAATCAATTATGCTGACCTTGTTGAATCAGTTATTTCTCATAGTTGCCAGCAAAAAGTTTGTTTTAGTCTTAGACAATATGGAAAGACATCCAGGAAGTCAAGAGACCACTCCTACAAAGCAGTTAAGCACAAATAAATGATCTTCTGGATTCAGGACCATGGGCTGCATAACAAATTCACACTTTTTTTTACAACAAACAAAAATATTTTTACTGCATTACCAATTAAAATATTCAGAGCTCTAAAAACAAGTTCATTTTAATAAATAAAATACATTAGCTACCCCAGGTTAATTTAGCTGAACTTTGTTCAGTGGGTTCCCAACATAAAATGCTGGGATAAATATAAGTATTGTTTAATCCACATTGATGAAGTGCATTTCAGATGCCTTGGCTAAAACTTTATCTAAAAGTAAACTCTCACATAAGATTCAAAATGTATAGGCTTTGTTTTGGTATTTAGGTTCAGAATATTCTGTACAGATATTACACTCTCCAATAAAAACAAGAGACGGTGGATCCATGGTATGGGAGTTCAATTTCTCATTCTTCCAATCAGATACTAGTTTAAATTATGTATATGACTGGTGCAACGTACACCTTGCCTTTCTAGACATTCTCATTATGGTTACAGTTCAAATAATTTTTCCTTGAGGGAATCTTGAGCGAAAAGCAAAGGCTGTCTATATCATTTATAAGGAAACAAGTACTCACCTCTAAAAATATGAATCGAAATGAATGTCAGGTCTTTTAAGTCTTTCAAACAATAATTGCCATGGAATGTAGGGGCTTACAATTTTGTAATGGTAAAAGCAGTACACTTTTTAAAACAAAAAGTGGAGATAAAAATAAAGGAACCCCCTCTATATTACTGTTTCTTTCAAGGCAAGTTTGAATAGTAAATACTACTATTTTGCTGACTTTGATTCTTTTATTATTCTACAGTGATGCTGTCTCAACTCAAGGACGGTGGTAGAATTTAGTGTTGATTAAAGACAGCAGAAAATGGCTCTTACTTTACAATCAGCTTGGAGGAAACAAAGCAAAACTCAGCCCTTTTCTTCCCTTTGCATTCTGGCAATCTGACTGACAACCACAGCTTGTCACTGTTGCTGCACTGTGGAGTCCCAGGGTGTCCACAGATTAATGCAAGAGGGAGTTCCCTCATTCAACTCAGGATCAGGGAATGCTTCATTTTCAAATGCACACTCATGCCTTTATATACATAAGAGCCATTGTGTCAAGGCTATAGTGCCTCCAGGCTATGATTAAGTCAACTAAGAAGTTTTTAAATAGGGCTGTAAGGGGAAGCTATGGCCTGGTTTGTGCATGACAATTCAGAGTAAAGGTTGACTATATGGGGCTTTTGAATTGTGGGTTGCCATTATGTGCAAATCCCATGCTATGGTTTAACTATGCTTGTTAAGGATGAACAAGCCAGGAAGACAAACCATGGTTTGTAAACTTTTGAGTTATGTTTCAATACCTCATCGTTGAACCATAGTACAAGGTCGCATGTAATGACATTCCATGATTCAACCACAACCCACAATTCAAAAACAGCCCATACTCAACTTACACTGTTGCTATGTATGAACCAGGTGATAAGCATTTACCTTACAAACCACGTACCTGTCTTTTTGAGCAGTCATAGATGCTACATCCCTTTACTAATGGCACAAACCCAATATACCTAGCAGCACTGAAGTAGGCTTATATATTTTAAATACACACGCACACAAGCAAACACACAAACCCAGCATGGCAGCATAGAAGGAGAATGCCATTGATTAAAATAATAAATAAAATAATATTGTTATATTGTTCAACATATCCACCAGCCAAATGCAAACAATGCATGGGGTTCCTTTGGCTCTAAGATTATGAATTACATGCCTATATATTAATGGGACAGCAGATTAACTTTGGTTTGTACATATTTTGGTCATTAAAACTGCTGCTGCAAATGACTAACTTTGTTGAATGGCAAGAAGCAGAAGCAGCAAATACTAAAACAAAATCCAACACTGGCCTTTGAATTGTTCAGATTAAGGCTAACATCTCTGCAAAGTATAAAGTACTATTATAAAAAAAACAATTTTCCCCAAAAAAAGTGCTTGTCATACTTGATCTAGAAAAACATTTTACCACTTCAGAAAGACATGGTTTGATGAGATCCAATTATAAAGTGAAAACGCTTTCCTTGAAGTATGATTGTGTATATGCGTGTGTGTGTATTTATATACATAATGTTGTGGTTATGTCATAGCTGCTTCTTTTACAATTTTCCACCAACTAGCTTCTTAGGCTAGCACGTATTGTTTCATGCCATACCATGGTGATTAAAACTCTACAGATTCATTCCATAGACCAAATGTTTCTGTAATGTATTTGTTTCTGCTCATGGAGCAATAAAAAGCACTTTTAAAGTATAAAGCCCTGTAAACACCTAATGACAATTTCTCTCCTTCCAGTTTTTCTGTTTCTTCCAAATCTGAGAGACAGGCATTTTTCAAAGGAGGTACAAATGGGATTTTTAACCACAAGCATTACATCTTAAAATCAAGTGATGGGAGCTGGGTGAACAGCAAGGTGGTGGTCGGGGTTGTATTACATGTAAATTCTTGACATTTAATTTAATACATCTGTTACTAGACTGTGATTGTCAGTATGTTACCTTGTTACATACAGCCTAGGGAATTGCAGTCTCATTAACCAACATTAAAACAATTCTCATTATCACTATCATAATGTGTTGGTTTGGACATAATGTTAAACCACAGGCCTCAATGAGGAGTTTGGAAGCCTTTTTTGATCAACTACAATTTATTGTGTCCTCCAAACCTGGACAAATTGTGCTTAAATTTAACTATGGTTAATGGAAGAAATCCAGCATCAGACCATGAATTATAAAACTGATTTGTTTCAATTAATCATAGTTAAGATTTAGGATTTGGATGCCATGCTAAATTACAGTTAATCTAAATCCTCCTTGAAGCCATTCCAGAGAAGGAAGACATGCAAACCTGAGGCTCACTGAGGCTCACTCTTCTAACACTAAGGGTGCAATCCTATCCATGTTTAGGCCTAAAAAGGCATACAATTCTCCAGCATATCCCAGTGTTCTGGGGAGGTGAAGGTCTTTAAAAAAAAACCCTGTACAGGATTGTGCCTTAATACATAGTTTAACATTATGCCCAAATGCAACCAAAGTTTATTCCCTACTAGACAGCTTTCTCTTAAGAATTTATCTTACTGGGGTACCTCACTGTAACCACAATGAGTATTGCTCTCAAACACAGAACAAAATCTACTTTAGAAAGGTAACCTTTGACATATGTCAGCTGAACTTGTGGTGTCATTCACATTTGCTTCTATGAGAAATATGTCCATGGTACTGCAACTATTAACACTCTAAGATACTATTTACAGCGGCTTCTAAAAGAGAATCAGTTTCTACAACACCTTCACTGTGTTCTGGAATAAATTTCTCCAGGCAGTTTTCTTGTGAAGCGATAAGTGAAAAGTTTGGATATTCTAAATCTAGGGAGCCACTTCCAGCTGCCTCATTTTGTGGCTGCCTCCCAGTCTTTTTCAGTTCCAATATGTTTTTGAATGTAGTCTCTAAACTCTTATTGAGCAGCAAATCCTTTTGGGGTTTCCCAGAACCTTTCAAGTTATCTGGATGCAAATCTTCATTCTTTGGAGAACTCCGAGGAGTTTTATCTTGGAGGGAATGATTATATGTTGTTTCTGAGTTAGAATCAACTGTATTCCGACATGCTGTATTACGTGTAGCGCGATCTGCACTTGATAAGGTTTTTGATGAATCATCTTCAGAACTTAATGAGTTTTCATCAGATTTGTCAGGGTCTTTACAAGCTATGTTTTGTTCAGAAGCAGCCATATGGTGGCATTTAGGAGAGCAGCTTGATTTCTCAAACGTTAAAGCTTTTGTGAGGCTTTCTGATTTTTTGACAGAAACGCTTCCTTGTTGTGAACTCACAATATTGTTAGGCACTACATGAAGTTTGTTGTGATTTAAAGACTCAGTTGTGCTCGGACTTGGCCTGTCTTTGATTTGGGAATTAGCAGTCTGGTTCTGAGAAGATAAAGGTTTGCTGGATTGATGATCGCTTTTACTAGGCTGTGTTTCATCAACAAACTTGTCCAATTGCGTGGAGGAACAACAAAAATCTGTCAGAAAACCATCTGAAATTTGAAAACAAGTATTTTAGTATACCATATCAGACTTGTTATTATTATTCAGTAGAATTATATCCCACCTTTTTTCCTTTTATAAAGAACCCAAAATGGCATACATAACTCCATTTTATCCTAACAACAACCCTGTGAGGTGGGGTGTGCTGAGATTCTGTGGCTGGCCCAAAGTCACCCAGTGACTTCATGGCTAAGTGGAGACTAGAACATCAGTCTCCCAGTTCCCCAGTCCAACTCTCTAATCATCATCACACCATAAAGACTTTCTAGTACATATTTATTAAAATACAGTTTTAGTGGTTTGCAGATCCTGAATTAAAGAGAATTGGTTGGTGTTAACCACAGTTATGGTCAGTATGAATGTTTCTTTCAACTACAATTAAATCCAGAGGGAGGAAATTTGTTTCACCAAGAGAAAGGTGAACAAAACAGACAGTGGTTCCTGATTTGTTACCTGTGGTTATTATTTGTTATTTTATTTCATTTCTATACCATCCAATAGGCATAGCAAGGATTATATCTGCATCAACCCAGTGTTGAGGCTCTTTTTTGTCAATAGTTATCTTATTTTTCCTATTTAAAAAAGATGTGTTCAAGTATTTTATTGAACAACACCTTGAAGCTCCGTCACTGACACTGGATATCATTTTTTCCTTAATTTGCAGTGTTGAGACTGTGGGTAGCATTATTTGGTAACTAAAATGGTGCTGCCCACACACGGAGAGATATTAGCAGACTTGGGAGTACCCCAAGGTTTGCAGTAGTACACGATCTATGGAATAACATCCTAAAGGGAAAGGGAAGAGGCTTAGTGGCTTAGGGAAAGGAAAGAGGCTAAACCAAAGGCTTAGTGGTCCAAGAACACTGACTGGCTACTTGGGGAAGGAAGAAACAGAAAGTGAGAAGCAAGGAGGTGGAATGGAATAGCTGAAATTCTGAACATAAGCACTCTACAATGCAACATTAGGTTCCACTTCTATAATTTAACAGTGAACTCTAATCTCCCAATTATTATGTAACTTAAACAACATCAATCACAAACTAGCAGGAGGTTATTTGCATTCTCAGGAGAACCCCAAGTTTTGTAGAAGTACAAAAAAAAGTCTTTATGGGACAAAGACCTAGGGAGTCACCAGTCCAAGGATGGCTGAGCATACTTAGTAGACACAGAATGCTAACTAACTGGGGGAGGGAAAATGGAAAACTGGCTGTGAGGGATGTAATAGAAAAACATGACTGGAAACTTGAACAGAAGTACTCCACACTGCAACATTTGGTTGCATCCTATTGCCATTTCAAATTGTTGTTTGTTTGAAGGCAAACTAACGAATTTATATATGTTAACTTCATATATATACATTAATCCCTAATAACACAAGCTGGTTTGCATTTATTTAGAAGTAAGTCCTACAGAGTACAATTGAATTTACTCCCAGGTAAGCATTTCTAGGATTGCAGCTTGTCGAACTTGCAAGTTTGATAGTACTATGTCAACATTGTTTTACTTCATCCAGATACAAAATACATTTCCTGTGGTTCTATAGTTTCCAGAAATGTTACATCTTTATGTCTGATCCACAGCTAGAACTCTTTCCAGCATTAAAATTTTACTTACAGTTTAAAGGAACATGTTTGTCAATGCTATGGCTATTATCTATACATAAATCTCATTTGTTTCAAAACGATTAATTCATTACCAGGATCAACTATTGCAAGACGCTTATCCCGGGACAGAGTTTGTCTTTCTTCCTGGTTAAACATCCTGTCAATCATGACCATTTCTGCAGAAGGATTTATCCTCTGGAAAAGAACACAAACCTTTGTTCAAACAAGTTTTATTTGTTGGCTATGTGGCTACAGTTACTGGAACATGCAACCCAACAATGTCTGAAGGGCCACATGTTCCCCAACCCTGCTTCACAGGTAATGCACACAAGTCAGTGCCTATATCAGTACAACTCCTCTTGCTTTTGTAACCATTTGCCACATTTCTGTCTTAATGTGTTAATCCTAGCATGGCATGCTTTGCCATAAATATATACAGACCTGCCAGATCTGTGTATCTCCCCCCACCCCCCGCCACCGTCCACTGTTGTTAAAGATGAGGATTCAAAATTAGGAAGAAAGATATTTAGAAGACTATGAGGAATTACAATTGTAAAAGGCAGTTGTGTCATACCTAAACATTTCTTTAAAAACTGAAAATGACAGAAAAGATGGAAATGACATCTGCTGAACTAGAAAAGGTTGGAAATTGTTACTCTAGATACTTATTGCTAATTCACAGAGTATTACAGTAAATGAGGCATCTATACCTTATAGGCAAACATACAAGCCACATTTTATTACCTAGTGAACAACTGCAAAGCCCATTCCTATCACTAATTCTTATTTCTATGCAAGAATGGTTAGCACCACACCTATATAAAAAGATTGCTAGTTTTATGTATTTCCAGCAGTTCAGCTATGTTAATCTGGTGAAGCAAAAAAAGAGCAGAGATTGGTCACCTTAAATACTTGATAAATAAATAGTACTGCTTTGAAATACACTCAGTCCTAACCCTCAGATCCACTCAGTAATATGATGCCATGGAGGTGCCCCCATCAGCAGAGAAAGGCTCTGTTCACAGAGAAAGTTGTTCTCCATAGTTATGCCCTCTCAGTAGGGCTTACTCCAAAATAAGTATGCAAAGCACCACAGCTTAAGAATCTAACATCATAGCCATGGTTAATTACTAATTTCTGCATGCCTTTCCACCTACTCCATGCCAATTTCTTAAACATTTTTAAAAGATTCATTTTTAAGCTCTGTGAGACTAACAGCTGCTTTCAGAATTTTTGCATAGGTGGGAAAAGTTACCTCAAGACCTGCACCATGCTGGGCTCTCTCTCTCTCTCTAATCCTGTATGCATAACACTTCAAGGTAGTTAACAGTTATTTATGCTGAAAGAAATTCTCCTGTTGCAGTGCTGTAAGCCAGTGAGTCACAAAGAGACCCTGGGGAGGACTGAATTACCATGCAAATGGGCATATTCAGACCTTGCTGTTCCTATGTAGCTGCTTATGAGATGGCAGAAGAGCACTTCTAAGCAGACATGCCTCATGAAGGGAGGTGAGCATATCCCACCCTCACATTCTCCAACATTTTTTAAGAACTTGTGAGAAAGCTTGACAGAGGGGACAGAGTCTTGTCCCAATGATGTTGGCAAAGGGAAACGTCAGCAATAAAGGTTTTTCACCTCTTTTGTAAAAAAAAAAAAAAAAGAATCATGTAAAATTAACTAGTGTGGCTAATATGCACAACTGCACACACACACATGCACACGCGTGCACACCACTTATGCACAGCAGCCCAAACTAGCCATGAAGTTTGTCACACGGTTAGACCTGGCACACACATTTTTTTTAAAAAAAATAGCCAGCAGAGGGAGTGGCAGGACAGCAGTCTTGTGCCTCCATGTGCAATCCCTGCTTGCAATGAGGGGAAAGCTTACCCACCCCTTCATCAAGCTCAGCCTGCCCCATCCTAGCTGTTCACTGAAGAAAAATTCTGTACATCAGGACTAAGCATGTGAGAAACCTCACATGTAGTTTGTTACAAAGATACACAAATACAGCTTTTTTATTAGTCTTACCATTGCATCTTCCATGAGCAGACATCTATATTTATTTAACATAGCTTGTGTTCTTTTCAGAAGCTGTGTGGCTACAGATTCAAACTCGTTGTCCACTGAAAAGGCATAAAAATACACTTACAGAGTAGTACTTCATACAATTCTTTCCTTATAATTTCTTCTTCTTGCATTTATTAGTACCAATATAATATTATGTTTTATAGAAATTAAACCCCACAAAAACAGCTTTTCACATGATTTGGAAATTAAAGAAAACCTACCTTTCCTTAAGTCCTCTTCTGTTGGCAGTGATCCCTGGCATACATGATATGAGAGAAGTCGCTGGACTGCATCATTTAAAGATCTGAACTGACTTTTATCAGGAGTCACAGCATGTGCCTGGTCCTTCTGTAACTGCTGTAGAATACTAATGGAAAGATTACTACTGTCAGTTGTTTACAACAGAGCCATATGTGTGCAACATCTTAACAAAACTTGCAGGTCTCAGTGAAAAGAAAAATGTCTAAAGTTAAAGTAGGAATAAAAAAGAAATAACTTACAAAGCTCCTTTTGTTAGCTGTTTAGCAGCAGGCCTCTTTTGTCCTATTGTATGACCATCCACCTAGATCCAAAACAGATTTCTATTACACTAGGATAATAGTCTTTTATAAAAACATGTGACAGTTGTGTGCACAGTGTGCAACAGGAATAAACTGCTTTCAAAAGATTCCCAAAGGTAGTTTTTATAGGCTGACAATACAAATAAACAGGAAACCTCAGGCTGGGAAACCAATCTGTCCCTCTGAGACCATGCCTCCTTCCCCTGGCTCCACATCCTTTCTACAACTGTTGCTGTTTTTCCAGCTTTTGTGCAGTATTTTTCCTCCATTCTAAAAGTTGAAATACATCCTCTAAAACTAATTTACTGGCAGCAAAAGCTTTAAGCTACCACTGGGGAGGTGTTATTATTTTGGCCTCAGCTCTTTTGCCACTGGACCGTCAGTTACTGGTCAGTATAGACAGATAAAAACAAATAGATGCCATCCCCAAAGCGCTTCTCTGAAACAGAATTCACCCTTGGACTGAAAGAGGTTCTGTACAGCTGGTATAAAGATATGTGAGCTAAATATTAATAGATACAGCTAACTCTACATCACAAATCACAATACTATAATAGTTTGCAATAACATCACTCCATTACATTCTGTATAAAAATAATGAAGTGGAATCCAAGGATTCGGTTGAGAAACCAGCAATTAGCTGAGTGCTTGTAGTTCACCAAAAAGCGTAAAACTCCAAGCTTTTATCTGAATTATCACTTTGTTTTTTGTAATATTTTAAATGATTTTGAGATTTTCAAATATACCATCACAGACTTCCTCACAAATTACTTTGTAGAAAGATTATTATTTTAAGTTTAAAGAATGGTATGATAAACTATAGGTTGTGTAAATATTCCCTAAAATTTAAGGGGAAGAAATTATGGGGAAAATGTTTTTTACCTGTACATTCGATTGGGCAAGAGATGATCCTACTGCTTTTTCCTGGTGTGGCAGTGCTGTTCCTATTGTCTGTTGTATGATTTTTCCCCCAGTGTCTTGTCCTACAAACACATAAATTATGAAGACTCTTTTAAAAGATTAGTCAAAACAAACTCCCAAATGATATTTAGAGTCTTCTACATGAACATGTCACTCAATTATTTAAAAATAATTTATAGGCAGAGACATGTCATTGGGAATCCTTTAATAGAACTACTATACAATACACAAATATTAATAATCTATCAATAGAATAAGATAATCAAAGAGTGTCTTAACAGCTTTTGAGATGTAAGCAGTATCTGAGTATGCCTAAACTGCGTAAAGATGTAACATTAAAAGCACATGGTAATTCAAGCTTCTTTCCACCTTCACAATGAAATTATTTACACTCTAGAGAATAATTCACAGGTTTCATCTTGTCCTGCTGCCCAGGCTTCAGAAGGATTTTCCATTAAGAATTATATAGTTTAACATGCTCATTACTTAAGAAAACCTGATTAATAAACTAAGTCTAACTCTCCTGCTCCTCCACCCCAAATCCAGTAGACCAATATTGAGTAACGTATGGTGAGCGAAGAAAGACAATTGAAAAGCTTAATGATAAGAATAGGTTATGAGGTAAGATGGATATATAAATGCAATAAAGTTTAGAAAGGCTGAAAAATGAAAGTAAGTTGAGTTTTGTGTGGTAAGTTTGAGGGAAAAGGGAGTTTTTAGATTGTGAGGAGAGCTAGGAAGGAACGAAACTGAGACACCCAAGGCGGCAGTCGAAAATGAACAGGGCTCCCACCAAAACACCTCGCCAGGGAATTTCTATCTATCTGGCAAAAGGCCCCATGAATGCACAGCGCCCATATGTGTGATGCACAGAGACCACGAAAAAGAACTAGGAATAATTTTTTGAAAGGGAATCTGGGCACAGAGCCCAGATGCTAAAGGGGAATTGGATACCTACACACACAGTTTGCCAACTAGCTAGACAAACATCTGTGGAAGTCTAGATGCAAGGTGCTTCTAAAAGCATTGCAGGGGGCACATTCTTTCATATATCTACACACTGCCCTTGCTCAGATGTCACAACAAGGCAGATCTGATACTGCACACTGTTCAATCACTCCCACTTAGCTAAACAAACCAGGAAATCTCTGTCTGTGCTCTGTTTGCTATTACATCTGAACTGTGTTACCTGGCTTGTTCCTATGATGGTTTATGATTCTGGCTTCTTCGGAGAGAAACAAGCCAGAGATCTGTTTGAATGCAATGCTAAATCATGGGTGGAAGTTTCTTTGTCTGTCCAGCTGCTCCCACTGGCAGAAGAAGTCAACTAGGAATGATCAAGCAGTATGTACTAACATATTTGCCTGTTACAGAACTGGAGAAATTTTCTCATAGACAATGCTGAGTAAAGAGGCATTTTGAGGCAGTGAGAGGAGAGTCTTCTTACCCTCTTTGGTCATGGTAAGATTAATTGCACATTCAAGCTCAGGGCAGCTAGTATCTAATCTTGGGGCCACTTCACAAGTTTAGAGCCAAAAATAGGAGCCTTTCAAGTGTTATGGAAACATTGCAGTTAATACTTAAAAGGCACTATGTGTCTGAAGAAGTATGGTAAAAATGTGTTGGGATTTTCATCCAATCTTGGCTTCCAGGTTCATGGTAGGCACACTCCCAGTGGTCTTCACATGTTTTAAGATGCATGTTGACCATCATGGAAAGTCAAACATGCACGTATTTCTGAAAAATTACTGTAGAACAAATTTTAGAAAACCGTTTCAGAGCTCATACATCTCTTTGCAGATACGAATTACTTCCTGCCATTTCCTTTTTGCGTATTTCAACAAATTTTTGGTACTCCATGAAGTTTATTGTGTCTTTTGAATGTCATGTGAGAATCAACTAAATTTGCAATTTAGAAACTTGGCAATTTGTAAAGTGTTTAACTAGATTTCCATCTTCTGCTAACTTTATACTAATGTTATATCTATGCATACATCTATCTATAGGTACTTCTCAGTAACAAAGCCTTATCAGTAGGCTATGAACAAAAACTCTCCTAATACTAGTTAAGGCCCACATTAGCACAAATCTTCTTTAGAGTTCAAGGAGAAACCAATTTCATATCTGAAAAGTTGGGAAAAGCATTTAAAAAAAGACTTCATCTGACCTGACAATGTATTACCTAGAAGACTTGATAGCTGAGGCTGTCTCAGGCTGTCCTGTGACTTTGCTGATGAAACTGAAGATGTCAGGTTCGTAACCTTTTTTTGAGCCTGCAAGATTCCATACAGAAATACCACACATATAATTAAACATTAAAGGCCAGCAAAGTCCAAAATCCAACATATAACCGGTAACATATAAACTATCTGTTGGTCCAATTTTATTATTTTATACTATTTATAAAATGAGTCTTTGCAAATAGAAAATTTGAATTCATTTATGTGATGAGTCTGCACACGAAGATCCTGCCACCTTTTAGCCATACTATCAGATCATATGTGTAAGAATTTAATGAAAATGCTACTGCATTCCTATGCGTATTTGCCTGGAAATAATCTGAATACAGTTAGGAATTACTTTCAAGTAAACATGAATAGGGTCAGGCTGTCAGACTTTCATTATGACAGATAATTAGCTTATTGGTTGCATTTCTTTCTTTTCTAAGGTTTCTGTACTGAAACAGAAATGATTTCATCCTGTATGGTGGTTTGACTACAGAAAGAACATGCAAAAATTGTTTTCCATCTGGCATAAACTTCAAATGGAGATTTTGTTCTGCATTGCATGTTTTTTGTGGTAAGTTTGTGTGGAGTGTGATTTAAGTAGGCAAATCAATGGAGATTTTGGAGGTGTTATATAAAACTCAGGCCAACATATTTGAGCACATATCTACACCTTAATCTCTGAGTTAGTTCAGAAATAAAAATCTCAGGTTATCAGATCAAAAAGCAAACATTATGTCTTTGGTTTACCCTTGGACTACAAATGAAGATACGAAATAAGGATTAGATCCTAGTTTCGTATCTTGCTTTGTAGTCCAAGATAAATGTTTTATTAGTTCAGATGTAACAGGAAACTAATTCGAACAAATACCAAAATATTCAATTCTGGTATATTAGTGGAACAGGCAAATGGCACGAGGAAAAAGAAGAATGCAGGTGCAACACTGATTCTTAGTCTAACAAACCATGGTTTATTAAACCAAGACTCTTAATCTGAACCAGCTCATTGAGGACCATCATTGATACCACACCCACTCAAAAGTACTTTTTTCTAATGCAGCAAATCTTAAGATCAGCTTATTTGTTGTTGATATTAGTTAAGACAACATCTTCATTCATATTCTTGACATTCAACCAATTCTGTCCAATATCAAATCCTAAATTGCTCCAGATGTTTAGCTTAACAGTGAATAAGTAGTATAGACATACATAAACTAGAATCATTGTTCTCACTTAAGAATCATTTAAATAATTTGAAAGCCCTACTTCTCATCTTTCATTTTTTGTGATAAATTAAGCTTCAATCCACAAATTAAAATCAATGGCAGCCATAATCTACAGTAAGTTGTACATTTAAGATGCTTAGCTTAATGAGAAAAAGCTGAAATGACCCTTGGGATCACATGCTCCAGCCTTTCATCTCCTTCTCCAGTGTGGCTGTGAAGAGGGCAGTAGCTTTCACTTCCATTTTACATTAACAGTAGTTTAGCATTATCTTTGAATCTTAACATGTGGAAACAAGGCAGCTTCCTAACCTACAGCTTGCTCTCATCTTTAGTTTTTCTGAATGGCTTTCATAGCCTCAACTTCCCAATACAATAAGTGGCTTTCAGTTAACAGCTGCAATGGACACATTCAGATGCCATACTAAGCGATAGAAGTTGTAACAGCAGGCTACTTGCTATCACCCCAACTCTGCATCACAAAAAGGGTTTTACTGTTCTTAAAATTACACAGATAAAGATTTTGAGCTGGCATCTATTCATACCTGGCCAAAGGAAAACTGTGGTTGTGTTACTGAAGTGTGACTAAAGGTGTTGACAGCTTTGGAAGAAGAAACTGGAAGACGATGTGATACACTAACAGATAACTGCATTCTATTTTGCTGTGTAAGTTGATCTCCAGCAAAATTTCCTCCTGATGCCACAGACTGGACTGATGGACCAATGTTGGGATGTACTGCAGCAGAACTCACAACAGCAAATCGGTTGCTTGATGACATATTTGAACTTGATGATTGCCCAGGAGACATTGTTGTAAAGCCCGTTCTACCTTGGGAAATGTTCCCTTGGCTAGGGGATAAATGCAACACAGCAGGAGATGCCTGTTGTAGTGGAACCTGGCCACTAACAATTTGAGAAGTCCCATGGTTTACTATAACTTGGCTTCCAGGAGCTGCAAATGTTTGACCAGAAACTAATTGCACAGCATTCTGATTATTCAGCATCTGTCCTGAATATGACTGATTTGTTCTAAGCATGTTTGTGGAGTTCCTGTTCAGCATAACGTGCTCAGTGGGTACTTGGCTGGAAACAAGCTGTGAAGGCTGATTCTGAAGAAGCTGTCCATTTATAGTCTGGACGTGGTGAACTGAATTAGGATTTACTGACAGACTTGTGGGTATAAGAAACTGGTTTTGAGGTGCATGAGGCTGTCCCATAGGAGAATGAATAACAATACTACCACTGGCATTACTTACTGCTTGGGGGGTAACAGATTTTCTTGTATTTTGTTGACTAACAATATTAACAGACATATGTGGACCAACTACTGAATTCTGAGGCGAGTTTGATGAAGCAAAAGGAATTCCTTGTTGCACATGATGCTGCTGCAGTCCCAAGCTATTCACATTGTAAGTGGTTTGCTGGCCCATTGGAATAGGCTTTGGTTGAATATTGATAGGAACTTTGTTAGAATTTGGAGCAAGACCCCTCTGAATAATAATGTTATGCACAGGCAAAGATGCTTGAAAATTTGTACTGTTAAATGGAACAGTGACAGGTTGTGCTACTGGGCTTGAATTTGAGCTGCCAAACAAGGAGTTACCATTAGGAGTTTGCCTATGAACCAAGAGTCCACCGCTCATGTTTGCAGGTGTTTGCTGACCACCACCCTTCAAAATAATATGAGATCCTTCAAGATTATTGATGGTCATCATAGAAGGCTGATTACTAAATGAACCAATTAACTGTATCTGTCCAGAACCACCAATCTGACTACTGTTTGACAAATGCTGGCTGGGAACACTGATTCCCACATGTTGCATAAAGCCATGTTGCACACCAACTGTATTGCTTGCGAAAGATGCTCCAACTGGTTGCTGTACCACTTGAGTAACTCCTATAGGTTGCAGCGTCTGCCCTGAGTAATTAGAAACATTAGAAGCCTGAGTAAAAGATGCTGATGAGGAAGGATGAAGCTGAGCTTGTGCAAACTGTTGATTAGAGCCTATGTTGGCATCCAGATACGCCTCTTCTGCCAAAGTTTGTTCAGTAATATTAGCTTCCTGCAGAGATTTCTGAAGGATATCAAAAGGCTGATCTTCACTGAGATCAGGCAATGGAGAAGATTCAAGTTCATCATCAAGAAACTGAAGGCTACTTGGCAATTGTAGTCCATCACTAGGCCCCTCACCGAGCTGACCACCCACACCTTTGATTGATGACTTCGGATCAGAGCTCTAAAAGAAATGATACAATACAAATAATTTCAATTGGTTGTATGCAATGGATATTTTTTTCTCTCAGTCAAAACATACCCTAAGAATACTAGTACTAAAAGAGCCATTTTTACTATTGGAATAATAAACATGACTGCTATGCACCTCTGTGCAAGAGGGCTATCGTTTTTTTTAACAAGGTTTTCAGAAAACCCTCTTGGTATATTCCCTATCACCTCAACAGATGTCTTATTTAAGGTTAGTTAAAGCAAGCTAGTAGCCCCAAGCCCAACAGACAAGAAACAGTGAAAACCCCTCCACAACTCAGCTTCGCAATCACCCCCCTCCCAATGGAAAGCAGTGAGATGCTGCTTAGGGAGAAACTGGTGGCAAAAGTTTAGCATACAAATGCAAGGACTGTATTCTCCACCCTCCTCATCACTGACATAAAAGGCAGCAAATTTACAACTGCAATTTTATTTAGGGGTACTGTCTACATATTATTGTGTCTATGTCTTTACTGACCTTGACTCTCTTAAGCTATGACCAGCATAAGAACTTAGCCCTGAAAAAATATTCTGCTGCATTACTGAGAGGCTTTCATTTCTTGCTCCATGAAAGAACACCAAAATAGCCAATACAAGCTGAACATTCTTCTTTCATGCTTCCTTTTCTTTTTCCACCACTCAATTAATCCTGTCAGACACTGAATCTTAGTTCCCACAGCTTCCAGTTTAGGAAAATACATGTTCCATCTGTAACTCATCTTAATATGTTCTGGTTGTTGCTTTCTTCCTTCTGGGTGGCATAAAATAGGGACTTGAAGGGGAGAAATGGTATGCGGGAAGAGAATGACTTTTCCCTAGCTGAGTTCCAGACCCATGCTTGTAATAGAAATGGAGATGTAGAACCCCAGCTGGGAAACAGGAACGTAAGTTGCAAGGAGAAATAATTGATTTGTATATAATGGTGGCAAATCATATATTGTGTCCTGCCACCATTTTGAACAGGTAATCTTTAATCAGCCTGATTGAAGATTATGGACTACTCATGGATTAAACATCCCACAGTTTACCTACAATTAGCAGGTTAAGTAACCTAGACTTGCCACCATTAAGTGCAATTAAAGCCTTTATGTGTAGGCAGAATATTGACTATTACATCAGATAGTTTTCAAATCTGCAAGGTTCTCACAACAGTACCAAACCTGCAAACATGATACAGCAAGAGCTAACAGTCACTCTGGGAGCCCTTTTTGGCCGAGGAGTTGGAGAAAATAATAGTGAACATAAAACCAGAACAGCACATGAATGAGAATAGTGATATGTAGAAACAGAGAAGATGAACTAATGACAGACAAGGAAGAGGACTGAACTAAAAATGTTATAATAATAATAATAATAATAATAATAATAATAATAATAATAATAAGTGAGGGTAAAAGAGAATGGCACAAATTAAAGAATAGGTAAAGCAACAGCCCAGCTTTTACTTAAGATATATATTCAGAAAAAAATTAGTGCTGTTTGCTCAGGTTCTCAGCTGGAATAAATGATCTAGTTCCTTAGATAGGTCTGCTAAGTGGTCAGAATCCAGCCTGCTCCTTCAAATTGGGGACCTCTTCAATTGACAGTTCTACACGCCAAAGAATGTGTAAATTTGACAGATCCTCAGGCATGGAAGTCTTTAACCCTTGCCAGTCCAAATATCTCTGTTCTAAACTGTAAAGCCTTATGTAGTCTAGTTTGGGGCATTTCAAAGAACTTCCTATCTGAAAGGACCACATGCCTCCAGTTTCTTAGGTAATGTTCTGAATCCCTACTTTGGATTCCATCTTCTTTACAATTCAGACAGAAGGCTACAAGGAGCAAGACTTCATCTATCAAGGTGTTTGTGCTGTGTTATTCTGTCTGCAAGTATCTGGACCTATTCTTTTGTTGCAGGAAACTGGCAAAACTTTTTTATTTCACAAGGCCTTTTGGCTATTTTGTATTTTAAAGTAAACACCAACTTAAGGAAAAACACACACATCAAACAATTGTGGTGTGGTAACTTCTTTACTATTTTTGTATAAATCCGTATCAGTTCAACAATCTGAAAGGAAATTTACAGAACAATCCTATGTATGTGTACACAGAATTAAGTCCAATTAAATTCAGTGAAACTTATTTTCATGTAAGTGTGTATAGCATGGCTGGGGGATGTGTGGCCTTCCAGGTGATGGCGGGCTGCAACTTCCATAAGCCCTTGCTAGCATGTCCAGTTATGGAATTCCCTCCTCTCATCACTGAGGTTAACCAAAAGTTTGGAATAGTTTAAGAAGGGTCAGAAAACTTTTCTGTTGAGCAGGGAAATGAATTATTTACTTGAGATAAAGTATGCTGATGGTTTGTGTGCTATGTTGTACATTAAGGTTGTTACTATAATTATTGTAGCTATGTAGTATTTTAAATTGTTGCTTTATTGTATTTTGTGTGCAGTGCTTGGAATAAAGTGCTATGGAAAATTAGATAATTATTTTTACTATAATAAGTGTTGCAATCTAACAACTTCTGGAGGGTCACATTCCCCACCCTCTGGTGCATTGGATGGCTGTCATAATCATTCTGCTTCTACTTTGTTTCTAGTGCAAAATAGAAAAGGTTAAATATTGGATTTTTTTAAATGAAGGAAAGTAATGGAGACATGTAATATCTAAAATGAGAAAACATTATTCAAATTATATCTTTGCGCAGACATTTTGCATATAACATCTGAGAAATGAAATGTTAATTTTGTTATGTAATCCTCCATTTAATTGCAAATTCTTATACAATTACAACCATCCTACCCTTATACATACAGTCTCTATTGTATTGTTGTATACCAGCATACTGGCTTCTATAATAATCTAGCTGAAACAGAAGCAGAACAAAAGCAGAGTCTACAGAGACAGAAATCACTTACCTATTACTTACTGGACTAGTTCTAAAACTGGGTGGTAGTAAGAAAGAGCAAAGTGCTTTGCCTATGGTGGAGCTTGGTAATAACTGTCACAGATCCATGGGTCCTAAGACCACCATTCTTATCTACTTCCATTCCAATTCCATAGCTTTGATTTGATATGTATAGGGGATGCAGAAAGGGCTTTGCAAACAAATCTCCCTCTACTTGCTCTAGCTAGATGCTTCCCATGGCCTCAGTGTGTGAAATGCAATACCTAAGATTGATAGAGCCTACCAGACAAAATACCCTAGAATGCATAGGACAGCTTCCTGTTGCCACTGCACAGCCTGTTGTACAGTGTCAATGGTGTTGTGAATGTGTGCATGGGAGTGGTGGTATAGCTTGTATACATAGTTCCTTAAGGATCTCCAGAGCTTGTTCATGCACCTGAAGTTTTTCATATTTTGCCCTCCAAGTGTGATGAAGCTGAATCAAACCCAAGAATGTAAGACTATCCTACTGACTATCCGAAAATCACTGTTTAAATTCAGTACTATATATAGAGGTACACCATAACGGGGTCATACAGATCTTGTTTCTACTCCATTCACTTACATACAGCATCAACAGACTAAGAAAGAACTATTAACCTATAATAAAAGTACACTTTTCCTCCTATATACTTACACTGGTATTGGCGAAAATAGAATTTGAGTTGGCTGCAGAATATCCTGCATTAGTCAAGTCTTCATTGTTCTGTTGTAGCACAAATATAGAAAAATAAAATTAAACTACAAGTAGCACAATTAGTAAAATCAGATTTATATTTATCATAATATAATATGACTTACAGATTTACTGCCCGCTCCATGTAGGAAATAATTCAGTGCCTGTGCATCTCTTAAAAAATACAAACAAGAAAAATGAGATGGACCAGTCTAAGAATCTTCAACTTGCTAAAACATTCTAAAATTAAAAGTTCTTAAAATATCAGCTGACACACATGAAAAAAGTCTCTCTGATTTCTATCACCTGAACACTGATACTGTAATAACTAACTATATAATTTAGAGCATGCAACTGGAAATAAATACTGTGGTATGTTTTCAGCAAACCATGTCAATAGGGTAAATAGTGAAAGCCAGTGTGGTAAAGTGGATAAAGTGTTGGAATAGGACTTGGAAGATGTGGGTCCAAGTCCCCTTTTGGTCAGGAAGCTCGTAGGGTGGTTTTGGGACAATCACTGACTCTCAACCTAACATCCCTCACAGGATGGTTGTGATGCTAAAAAAGAGAGGAAGTGGAAGAGGATTCTGTAAGTGGCCATAGGTTCCTTACTGGAAAGGGAGTGGGGTATAAAATGCAAAAGAAATACTATATTTTAATATATAAATACTATATTTATTTATAAATAATAAATGTTTATGTCTATGTAGAGGGAATTTAATTGTCATAATATACTTTTTTAAAAGTTTCCATCTTACAATAATCAGAACAGTGTCTTTTTCAAATAGCAATGTATGCAGGACCAGATCAAGACCTTAAAAAAAAACCTTTTGCAAGAGACATGTGGTGTACCTCCTCTTACCAACACAAAGCATACTGACACTAACATCTAAGTCACTGAAGCTTAGAAAACAGTTTTACTTCAGTAATATGGAAGAGTGTAAATCTCCATATTGCCGAATGCTCTTGTTCATCATCAGGACTCTTTCTCATATACTTTACTTAACAAAGGGCATTTGGGGACAGACATCAGTGCATGCAAAATAGGTCCTTGTTTCTCTTTCTTTTTTGCCATTTCATAACATAGTGTAGGAACTGTACATTTTTATATCTCAAATATCACATGTGGCACACAGAATATTGCAACTGATAAATATAAACAAGTAAGTAAGTGATAAAACTTCATTCCATTTACAATGTAACTCCAATGTAGTTTTAAATTTTTTTATTTACTTTGTGGGGCTAGCTTGAAGAGCAGAGCCCTGCCAGTGTAGCATACAAGATTAAAAACAATACAAAATAGCAACATTGAATAACAACCTTTAAACACCAAGCTGGCAGCTCAAGAGAATTTTAAAGGCCAGCTAATAGGCATGATTCTTCAGAGCTTTCCTGAAGACTTGCATGTCAAACCACAGATGGAACCTCATTCCAGAGATGTATATATATATACTGTATATATTTTAATTGTCATTGTTTTAATGTATTTTGTATTCGATGTTGTAAGCCGCCCCGAGGCCTTGGCAAGGGGCGGCACAGAAATGTTTTAATAAATAAATAAAATAAAATGTGTGGCCACTACTAAATTGATCCCCCTTCCACACCAGCCTAGCTTCCTTTAGGAGCAGGTAAGTGAAAAGAGCCTCTGTTGAGCGAGACAGGCTTCACTAAGAACCCAAATATGTTAAGGCTTTAAAGATTAAAGCCAGCACTTTAAACTGGGCTCTGAAATGCACTAGCAACTGGTGGGGTACTGGTGTCATATGAACTAACTGCCCATAAATATATTGCAACATGTATCCTAAGCAAATTATATAGAATAAAATCCCACTGAGTTTAATGGGATTTACTCCTAAGAGAAGATGTATCAGATTCCAACCTTGCTTTCCTAACAATGACAGAGTTGAATTCTGCTATTGGTGGAGGGTGGTAAGCACCACTTCCTGCCCATTTTGTATTCCCTCACAACTCCTAGATGCTTCTGAGAGTTACAGATGACATTAAAAGCAGAGGCAATGTTAATGGATGGCTCATTAGGGCTGGAGCTTCAAATCATTCTTTTGGTGCCCCCAAACTCTGGTAGGCCATCTGCCTCAGCACCCATGGGCTCTTGCTAAAGTAAGAAGGCTCTTACTCTGCTCCAACTTGAATCTTTCTGCTTGAGGTTTTTTTTTAAATGTCCTCTTCTCCCCTGTCAATACCCCCCCTTTCAGGTAGGAGACAGGGTCCTTCAGCATATATGGAAATTATGTGCAACTTTTTCTTGTTCATATAACCTAATCTAGAATCTTTTCAGTACCTAGCACCACCCCTGATGGGAGGTGGCTACTGGGAGGATTGGATGAATTGCAGCAGTTCCCCTTTTGTACAACAGAAAGCCTGTACTGTGTCCAGGTTCCTTCCTTCTGTGAACAGAAGGACACCATTTTTAGGTAACAAGTTTTCCTTTCCAATCAGAATTTTGCATCATTATCCTTTAAAAAAAATCTTACCCAATAAGATCAAAGAGACAGGACTCATCATCATCATCATCCATGACAACTAAGGAAAAAGAAAAGCACTCATATATATATATATCATAAAGCAGATTTCTGATTTCCTTTCAGAAAAAGAGACTTTTTTTAAAGAATGCTTTTGAATAATTGCTAATTGTGTGGAATGTGTTTGTGTACCATGTATTAAATGTTACTTTGCTGTAACAGATGCATAAAGTTTTATTTAATGTTTAAACTGAAGTTTGCCATTCTAAACATACATTAAGAAATAAGATCTTTTTTAACTCGCTGGGACTTACTTCTGAGCAAATATGCTTTGAGTAAGGCTTAGGTAATACAGTATGAAATAAAATAGGTGTTCAGAAAACTGTACAGACAAGACAAATCTTTACATTCTTCTTTTCATTCTTCTCTTACCAGAGACAGTATTTTTATCCTCGTATTACAAATGGAAAATTGTGGTCAATTTTTTTGTAAAACTCTGGTGAGATGGGTGGTAGAAAGCCCAGTGCCTTTAAAACTACCCTGCAACCCATGGCTTGAAAGCATTCCCATGGTTTTCCTTCCCTAATAATGAAAATCCAGGCAGTGGCTTGTCAATGCTACCTAGTGAGTTCATGGGTGTGATGAGATTTGTACTTCATATTCTCAGCAAGTATGCTACTGCAGCTGTAGCTCTTTGTGAATTTTAAGAAATGGCATGCTTAATATACTGGTAGATTCACAATGCCAGAGAAAAGCTAATTTCAGATCCTACCATTTTTTAGTTCTAGCCATGTAAGAACCATAATTTTAGCCCACAGTTTTCAGAACTGAACATTTTGCCTTGGGTTACTTATTAAAGTACTAGAAGATGAAGAAATTAATTAAAATCTCCATTGATTGATAACTCACAAATTATATGCACCTGCAATGGCATGTTTTTATAATAGATCACACATTGCTTTACACAGTTTTGAATACAGAATTAAAGTAATACCTAGTGTCATTGTATACACATATGTCTTCTATATGTGCTGACAAATTTAAATAGGAGCGTACTGCTAACTACAGTGGAAAAGATGATATAATACTGAGCATGGTGATTTGCTCAGTATTTTCAGTGATTTGATGATCCTGAAAATCCCGTAAGGCAAAGATCAGAAGATTCTGCACATTAATAAATATATTTTTAAGTCTTCTAAGTCAGCATCTCATACATCACGTTACCTGATCATTTTAACTGGGGATACCAGAGACTGAACTAGGGACCTTCTGTATGCAAAGCATGTAGTCAACTCTACCACTGGGTTGTTCTCATACCTGCTACCTGACCTATTGCAACAATCTTCATCCATTATCACAATACACTGGAGTGTTCCATTAGAATATAGCCCAGAAAGCCTGTAGTCCAAAGGGTAGTTATCAGTGAGTTGACAGGACCCGAGGGATCTAGGGTCCTTCCTCACATTGTAAGTGTTCTTCAACATCATACATGAGCTTTTCAGAGCAAGTAACACAGAGAAAGGGAGGGTGCCAAAGTACACTGTGGTGTGCTTGTTCAACAGGCTGCTCCCTTATGTCCTGTAAAGGGTAAGATAGTTCCTAGATCAAATAACATGGAGAATTTTTGGCAGCCCCTTCAATTTGTTCAGCTTTTGTATAACTTACTTTTATTGCATGTCTGGCACAGTTTGAATCATTGAACTGAGTGATTATCCATGTCATGAAAATATTGTAAATGTCATCATGTATGTATGTATGTATAATAAAAGAAGTATCAATGCAACACTGGATATGTAGCATCAACTGTTCAACATAAACAGAACACATTATTTATTTTAGTCATTTAAGTGTAGATAGCCCGTAACAGCCAAAGCTTGACACTACTGGTGATTGCCTCTGTCATTTGTCCATAAATCCAGACTTAGCAGAGAAAGTCTCCCTAGACAGATGCAGGTCTGGCCTTGCCCAAATTTGTTTAGCTCATTTTCCTCCACAGTACATTGGATTAGTCCAAAACAGTTTATGAAGCTCTCTTGATTGTCATTCTACCTCATTAAGGTTCCTTAGCTTAAACTTGAAAGACTCCTAGGATGCTTACAGATGAGCCTTTATTATGTGCAATTGCACTGCCTCATTATGGAATGTTATGGGAGGTCTAGCACATATCTTTCATTTGTAACCCTCCCAGGTTTCATACCAGTTCTTCATTCTTCTTACCACAGAAAATAGGTCAGAGGTGAAGACTGAATGGATGTACAATGTCTTTTGACAGGTTATGTTATTAGAAGTGCCCTGTAGTTGGAATAGCACAGAATTAAAATTGGCCCCTAGTGTGACTTTTGTCACCATAGTGCAGGGGTGTAAAACCCAGTTTACATAGCAGGTCCAGAGGTGTGTTGTATGGCCCTCATGTTCTCTGCACCACCAAGTTCCTCCCCCATGACTCTGATCAGCACCTGTTTCCACACTGCTAATTATGATAAAGCAACATTTGGCAAGAAGTACTGGGAGAGCATTTAACTAAAGATGACATGTAAATAATGCAGGCAGTCAAGCTTAGAGCCTCATCAATGATCCCAAAGTAGCCACCCCAGTGAACTTGCTGCAGAATTGCTGGAATGAGGGCAAAGATAAAACCTCTCTTTCAACCATATTTCTGCAGGATCCCAGTGGGACAGGGGCAAAGTTAAAGTATATGCATATGTGTACCCCAGGGGACCCCAACAATGTGATGTGGTTCTCAGGGCCAAAAAGTTTGTGACCCTCCGCAACAGCATTACACCTAGTCTTCTCAAGGCTGCTTTTAAAGGTACAAAAGTCTCCTTAGGTTTGACCATGATACTACCATCTTGGCAATGCATTTCACAGGTCTGCAGCTTCCAAAGATGTCATATAAAAACTGGTGTAATGATGACCCTATTCATGTACTTTTAACAATATCCTAACATTAATTTAAACCAATAAAGTATATAACCACATGGCATTTTCCCCATCATATTTCATTTGCTTACTTTTCTGTGTCAAGTTATTCTTAACAGCCCAGAAAGACAGCCAGCAAGGGTAAACTCTTTCTCTGCCAACCACTCACAACACCTCCAATTTCTAGACTATGGAGCGACAACTGATCCTAAAAGGATTTCTGTCTTTAAAAGCTGCATGACTGGTAGAAATTTATCAATGGCAATGTTTGCCAACATAGAGCGTTTCAGGAAAAAACATGCCTGCTGGTTACTGTTGTTTTCCTGTCATGCAGGTTTTAAAGCAGAAGAGCACTGGTAGAAAAACATGGCAACTCCGTGTAAGTTCGCCAAAAGGTTCTTTACCCCAACTCCTTTCTTGAGCTCCACAGCTCCATCATCGTCTTCTCACATTGCCTTTATCAAGTGTCTTTAGTATAGCTTTCAATAAACCTCCTTTGCTGCCCAGTATTTCTCATTCCATCTGCATCCCTGTCAATATTGAGCTTCTGCTGATCTTGGGAACTATGTGAGGTGTTTGTGGGATTTTTACATGCAAGCATTACATCACATGCTTAATCAGTTGCCTCTCTTGTCTCCTCAGCACACAGTTCCATATAATGTCTTATGAATACCACTTGTTATTTTTATATGAAAACAAAAGGAAATTCAGTACTGATCTTTTTAGAAGCATTTCAAATAAGAATATATTATATTGCATTCACAAAATGAATTAAAAGCCAATTATGTTGGACTTGAAGTGACCACGTATCTCTGATCAGGCCAGTATTTACTGCACCATGGTATTGTAGGATGAACAAGCAACATAAAAAGTTTTGGACCTCATCCATCTCCATGTGGATATGAAAGAATGCTTGTAGGGGCATAACTGGATGTTTCCAGAGTTCCTAGTGTTAAAAAGCAAAAGGCATTTTGTAATTTTGCCATGATTCTTTGGCAGATTTTTCCTAGTACAAAAAGAGCAACAATAGGAAAACATGGGAAAACTACAGAATGAAGATGTCTTGATCCCTCCCATAAAATTTCATCAACTGGCAGTGTGTTTGCAGCATAAAAGCCTTGTCTGGAAGCACCCAGAGAGTTCCATTACCCCCCATCTGTTTAGCACATGTACACAGGTCAAAACCAGCCAACATACCACACCATTTGGGGAATGGAAGTCCATGAATACATCCTATATCCCCTTCTGGTTTGTTCTCATTCTCTCTCTCTCTCTCTCTCTCTCTCTCTCTCTCTCTCTCTCACACACACACACACACACACACACACACACACAACTTGTCCACTCAGCTCTCCCAATGAACTGCTCCAACGTGGTAGCAATGAATGCATCCATCCGTACGCAAACACAGCACTCATTTATTGGATAAGGACTTTTATATACTAAAAAAGCTATTTAAATCCCTGTAATCCTTCACTTATCTGCATGCCACAATTACATAGTAGATGCAAGGTTGTTAGAAGTCACTTTGCACAAAATCAAAGAGTAACTATTTTCCCTATTTTCACTTGTTTGAAATAGAAGTGCACTAAATTATTACATTAGAAAGTGTAATCATAAACCTATAATTTGGCCTATTTTGAATCTCAAATTTCTCACACAATTTGAGTTACATGGAGGATGGTGGTAGGCCAATAGCATAGCTGATATGATTTACAGAATTTCAATATAAGCTGGTCTTCGAGAATTTTAGTTTTTCAATAAAGTACTTTTCATTAAAACTGAGATCTGAAATTAGGATCCTGTTACAAAGTTCTTTGTATTATGTTTAGCATTTTTCCATTGTGCTGTATTCTGACAAAGTTGTGTATCTAATAAATATTCACTCAAAAACATTGATTGCCTTAATTCAAAACACCTTTTCTTTCTTGTTTGAAGTTATTCAGTGTTATCAAAATGGCAGAAAGAAGCAAAACTCCCAAAATACAGAATTAACTGACTCTCATTGTATTTCTATGAATCATTCTGTAATTTAGTATACACTTCAGTATTCAAGTAACTTATATTTGAACAAGGCAGGAGAATACACTCCCTAAGATAGCAAATATGTACCAACTCACAAGTAGAAAGAATCTTATTTGTTATTAAACTGGCAAAGATTTACTAAAACATTTTTCTTCCAATAAATCACTCAGGATGACCATCACATTACTCTACCAATCCTCACATCTTCCTACCCATGGTATGCAGCAGGGTAATTCATGGTTTCATGTACCATTTTGCAGGTGCAGTTAACAATTCTGGCCTAAGATTAGGTTGTTTTTGTATTTTAGAATGACCCTATTGTCCTTTAGGCCTTCATTCCTGCCTTCAAATAACTTAAATGGCAGCTCTATGTGAGGCAATCTGCCCTAGGAAGTTATCACGAGTGCATTCAGAAGCATGGCATTTCAATTTTTTAACAAGTGATGCTACAGAAAAACACACCTGACAAAACAGAATTTATCCACTGTAATGCCTCCTCATAAGGGAATACTCTTCACCACATGATTAACACTATTTTGGCTTCTTACAGTCAGTTTGAAAGGCAGCGTGTACTCTGACAACATTCAAGTCACTTCGAGGTTATCACTGTGCTTCTTCTCAAGAATTAATTGAATGAAATTAGCCATTTTTAAATTCACTAACTAGTTTAAATTAAGTTTGTCCATCTGGAACAATGTAAGCAATTTCTTGAAAGAAAACTGAGGCTATTAAGCAATAATGTTTTTGTCAGGGTTGTTCTGACAGTAATTTGTATTCTTGTAACATAATACACCAGGACGATTAGGAAAACTATTGTGCAGTTATATTAGTATAAAACTTTCTATATGGTTGTCCATGTACTGATGACTGCAATGAAGTCCAGTTTAGCCATAAACTTCAAAACATTCATACAAAATACAGATGGGCATATGCTTGGACTACTGGAACACTAAAGTTTCCTTCAGAGACTTTCTTATTTCATCTACTTCTCATTAGAAAAGATGGAAGTAAACAACGTACAAGTTCTTTTTGTAAAGGTAGGCATAAAAGTTCCCCTGGTGGAAGGGGGACTCAAAGAAGAACATGTAATTAGAAACAAAAATTTAAAGTATCTTACAATTTAGAAACAACTGGAAGTTTGATATGTTTCAAAAAGAAAATAATGTGGTATGCCGTATTTTGCCCAATTATGCTTTCCTGCAAAAATGGTACTGCATCAAAATGAAGTAATAATTTAAACGCCCACACAGCGTTAAGAGAGGAAAGCACAATTGACTTCGCGACTACCATAACATAAAACCCGGTGTCCTCCCAGGTTCACAAAACCCAAGATACTATTATCAAATGCATTTCTAAACTTAGGGAAGCACTGTACGGTGCTAAATTCAAGAGCACCTGCGGGGCTTCCACAATACACATTAGACTTTAGCAACAGGAATGTGTATTGTGCTCGCCAAGCCGTATTTTACTCCTTTACTAGGCTTGTAGCAAGAGGATCTACTGTAAATATGTCTATTGTAGGTCCTACAGTAACAAACGAAATTTGAAAGGCCGTCCAATGAATAGAGCCCTGCTCCTCCATTTTTCAGTCCCGTAAATCACGTACTTCTGATCAGTCACTTTGAGAGGCTGCCATAATACGGATTTATTACTGCATATGTGGTTAATTCATTCCAGACTCAGCTGTCCCCTCCGCCCACCTCAGGAGCAGAAACCAACCTGATATAAAGAAGCTGTGGTGGGAATGAGACAAGGGAGTCTGCGATAGGTAACATATAACGAAGTCATTCTCCCCATAACCGGGAAACTTTCCTAACGACAAGAAGGCTGGAGGAGCAGCTTTTTCAGACAAGGACTCCTCATTATATTGAACACGGAATTTTATGTTTAAACTCATTAAAATAAGAGCCATCTCTCATACTCCGTGAAACTTGTTTTCCAAACAATAGTTTCTAGGGTCGCGGGTTAGGAAAGCGTTAAAACCCTTAGGAAATAAAGATTTAAAATGCGCATGATGCAATGAGCTGTTTGGAAGGCAACGTTTGATCCCGAAAATTAAAGGAGGGTAACGCCCCAGCCAGAGGGGAAAGAGAAGCCGAGCGCCTCTCAAGATGGCGGCTGCAGCAGGAGCGGGTGCGGAGGGAGAAACTGCGCAACAAAACCTGGCCGGTAGCCAGGCAGCGCCATCTTCTCCGAGTCCCTTAGATACGAGAGCGGAGCAAACCCCACGCGTTAAAGCAAGCAAGGAGCGAGGAAATACGAATAAGCAGCCCTTTCCACAGGACTTTGGAAAGGCGCTATTACTTATGAAGTTATCCAAACCATGCACCGGAATTAAGTATTTTTGCATAAACACTCTCAGAAAAAGCAAAGGCCTCACCCCATCTAAGATTTGCCCGTCCTTTGCTCAGTAATAGGGGACTATCTCACGAATTTATGTGTTTGCATTTATATAATCTATATTATTATATTTGGTGCCACCGAAGTTTATTCCCCACCCATCCGCTCGCGGCAACGTAACTCCGACTGGATTTAGAGGGAGAAAGGTTAATTTTAAAAAACACCATCCACCTCCCAAACCAACCTTTCACACATTTTCAAACAATTCCTTATACAATCCCACACATATAGCGAAACCATAACTGAAACTCAATTGACAAAAAATTACTTTGTTGGAAGACTATTCCGATGACAGATACAGGTACAAATTAATCCAAAGGCAAAAACGAAAGCGTTAATACAGATGTAGAATATTTATTCTTGCACATTTAAAATAGAAATTACAGCCGATTATCTCGGGAAAAAATGTGTTTCTTTATCCTACCGACCTAGAATTACATGTACCGAAACAATCACCATTTCCATTCCTCGTAACAATGACGCACAGGCAAGAGATCGGAGGAAACTGCAGACAAAAACCCGAATAAACAACGAAAGAAAATGCCCACACAAACAAAATTAACGGAGGGGGGAAAATCCCCGTCAAAAAGCGTAGCCCATGCTAGGAATGCAGTGAAAATTATTACGAGATGAGAAGAGATGGTAGAAGAAAACAAATCCAAGCAGGAATGCAAAAGAAAAAAATCCTTGGCAGCCTCACGTTCAGGAGAGAGAAGACGAAGCGTCTCCATTTTCCTGAGGAGGAGGAAGAAAAAATGCTTCACACACCAGAGAGCTTTAGAGAAAAGCAAAGAAACGAGGGGGGAAAAAAGAGGGAGGAGATTTGAAAAGATTATTTTTCTTTCTCCCTCACACACACTCTCGATCCCCCTCTTCCACATGCGCATACACACACACACAGAGTCGGTCACACATAGGGACACACACACATACACACACACCTCACACATACACACTCCTCTTTCTCTCCCTCTCTTGATGGCCACCAAAGGGGCGGCCAAAAAAAAAAAGCACGAACAAAACAACAACTAATTTTAAACCGGCTCAATCAATGAGTCATTAAAAGAGGGGTTGTTGGATGTTGTTGTTTTTTTCCCTCCTCTCCTAAATTTGCATGGCATCAGCAAGCGAGGGGGAGAAAAACCCACCCCGATCCTCTCCCCCTTGCTTGTAGCTATCAGCCTAGACCTGAAACCTTATCTGTCCTCCCTCTCGCTCGCTCTCCCTCCTTGTCTGTCTCTCCCCCTTTTAAGAAACACATTTTTGGAAGTGCCCTCAGTAGCCGCCGCCACAGCCTCTGACTGCAAAAGAAATAAATATTCCCCTTCCATGTGAATTAACATTTGCCCACCAAGCACCACCCGCGCAAAATCGCCCTCTTCTTCCTCCTCCTCCTCCTCCTCCTCCTCTTCTTCCTCCTCCTCCCTGTGTCCCCTCTCTTCCCTCTCCTCTCTCTCTAGATATATATTTATATACATAGCCCCAGAGCCAATAGCTCTCTGGGCTGAAACCTAATATCCTGGTTTTGGCAACTCCTGGTTGTTAATTTGCTCCTCTTTCTTTTCTGTCTGTCTGGAGATAGATTTTCCCCCCTTTCTCTCTCGCTCTCTTTTCCCTCCCCGAAGGAAGGGAGGAAGGAGGTTGTGTGGGTTTTTTTTCCTTGAAATTTTTATCACAAAATTATAATACACTCAAAGGGAAACTCACCGTCATGAAAAAGCAGTGCCTTGTCAACGGGGTTTCTTCGCCATCACATCAGGGGCTGGCAGTGTAAGAGAGAGAGCGAGAGAGCGAGAAAGGGAGGGGGGAGAGAGAGGGAGCGAGCGAAAGGAAGAGAGAGCGAGCACAACAAGCACACAGTGCGGGAGGACCAGCCGCAAGGAGAGCGGATAGGCACAGCCGGGAGAAGCACAGCCACCCATTCACATACATTATTGCGATCGGCACGACCGAACTTGAGCTAGCTGCCTGCTTTTACCCTGTGTAAAGTAGGTCCCTTTAAAAGATGTTCTTAGTTTGTTTCTTAAAAAAGAGGGGGGATCAACAACCACCTTCTATAAGAGCCGAGTTGTAGACTTCAAAGGTACCATCTACTGCGCGCAAAAGAAAACAAACAAACTTTTTGTGAACCGCGAAGTGGCGAACTGGCCTTTCTAATAGAACCAGGTGAATTATTAACCAGTTGCATATTTTGGAGCGGTGGGGGGAGGCGGAGAGAGAAAGAAGTAAAGCGCTGTTTTATTGTCTCATTTATGTATTTAAAACTCGACCTTTTCCCTCCCTTGCTGTCACCCGAGGGACAGACACAGTGGAAGTCAGGAAATCTGGGAACTTTTTGAAAAGATCTGCGTGTCAAGATTGTTTCTGAAAATAGGCAAAGTCCTGGCCAGGCAAAACTCCAGGGCTTACCGTCATCTTTATTAACATACATTAACATGGTATTGCCAAAGCTGGATAGTAAACTGAGGGCAAGTGAATTAGAAATTTGTAACAGAGTAAATTGGTATTCATAACATTTTTTTTCTGTTTGGGCAGGGAAAATCCATTTATCAAAAGTTCATAGTCTAGCATTCTTAACACTATCCCCCTAACTTCGTCTTATTCTACAAAATGTTCCAATGTGGTCTCTTGTGCAACACGATTTCTGCTGCAAGCTTTTCAAAGAAGTCAAAATGTCCAGTTTGTTGTTGATAAATCTAACTTTCTAACGTGTGACTGTACCCATTGTTAGTCTTACTAAAGTTCGGCCAGTGAAATGAATGGGACTTAAGTTAGACTAAAATTGGAAACAATCCATGCTTTTAACATTGCACAGCCTTCCTTACTGTCTTGGGAAAAGCAGTGTATTCACCTTTTTGGGTGTAGGGGAAATGTTAATTTTTCATGGGAAACATTTCTTTTAAAAACGGGGGACAAACTCCTATCTCATTTGCTTTATTAAGGGACAGTATAGACCATGTATGCTTTCTTTTCATGGACTAATTTACCGGGTGTGAAGGAGTGGCACTGATTTCACACATGCAGTTTAACTGCTGAGCCTCTCTTCTATTGCTATGCATGAGTAAATGACACGTGCCTTCACTGATGGATATGGTTGTGTATATTTACAAGCACATTTTAATTTCCATCTATTTGGGGGTGACTTGTGAATGGTAAATTCTACTTGAACCACATTGTTACTGTTTGTTTGTTTTCAGTTGGTCTCAGGAGCCACATTTTGGGAGTTGAAAGGACCTGCCTTCACCCATGCTGTATAGTGGGCCATTGGACTATTGGGATTCCCAGCTCCAGGGTCAGAAAATCACTCTAACCTTGGAGCTGGGAATCTGTGCTCAGATTCCTCTCCCCTTCCTTGCAGCCACACCAGCTGTTTCTCCAAGGTCATACAAACAACCTCAGGGGTTTTGTGGACATTCAAGAGGCTGGGTAAGGAAGGAGGCTGGTGCCACCAAGATGTGAGATACTCTTATAGCAACTTGGCCTCCTACCTGCTATGTGAAGAAGCATATTTAAACAGCCAAAATCTGTTGTTTCACAGAGCAGGAGAGCACAAAGGTATCCTCTTTGGATAGTGTTCTAAATTTATGACTCCTCAAAAAATTCAAGGCATATTATTGCACTTTTTTGTGCTCAGTCCTTCCTTCATCCCACATGATGGAATGGCTGAATGGGGTTTGTGGGATAGAAACCTGTCAGTTTCACTAATACCATTTTTTTTCAAAATGGACCCCGTCCCATCAATCTCATTATGCTGTAACCATGCTGCTATTCTGAGGAGGGGGAACAATTTTTTTTGTGCCAGTTTCTTCAGAAGAACATTCATGTACACCTGAACTTAAGTTCATAGGAATACTTTTAGTAGTACTATGCTATGTGTATCTAATGAGATGTTCTTCCAAATTCAAGGCTATATATAGCCAGATACGTGTGTATAAGATCATAAATTAAAAGAGCTTTTAAAAAAAAAATCAGCACAATATGGTGTCTTCCAAGGCTCATGGAATGTAGAGCAACAGAATGTTGAAAAGATCCGTTGGTGGATTGGAAATTGGCTAGCCTGGGTCCCTAACAGCGTATAGCAACCTGATGAGACTGAAGGAGATATACATACCATGAAGCTAAAACACTTCCCTCTTGAGATGTTTTGGGCTAGGAGGCCCCATGATCTGTGGTCACTGGGCACATTGGTGGGTAGGAACTGTGATCCAAAATATCTGAAGGATATCACATTTGGGAAGGCTGGCTTATGCTCATTTATCTCTTTATTAATTGCATTTCTATCCTGCACAATAGTCAAAGCTCTCTGGGTAATTTGTACTATTCCAGTTGAGAGCCTAACGAAGGATCATATCAGTATGAGCCCTGAGAGATCCAGCCCAATAAATGCTCCAACAAAGCTTATAAGGAAAGAGTTAAAGGTCTTTTTGTCTAAAATATGGTATCATCATGCAATCTTATATATGTCTATGTAGAAGTAAGTATGCAGTGCAGAGGTATACTGCTTTGGCATCTGAGGATTCCTTTCAATAAATGTACTATAGAATATAATTTTGAAAAGCAATCTACACCTTACATGCATGTCTGTGTAACAAAACCCCATTGGCTGGGTTCGGAAATACCAGTTTCAGAGAGAAGTGGTTTTTAAAGAGGTATGTTAGCACTTTCTCTGCCTGCACTTTTTCCAGTGCATCTCCTTCCTTCCCCAAACCACTATACCCCTGGTGGGATTTTAAAATGAATATCCAAGAAAATCTGGATTTAAAGGCAGCAACACGGTCGCTCATGAGCTTGTCAAAGATGTCAATGGTAATTATATGGCCATATAGGAGAGAGACCCAGGATGAGGCCTAACCTGTAACATAACCACTTCTCTGCTCTCCACCTCCATGTACAGGAACCCAGGACTTCCAGCCATGTAGACCACTACTGAAGGCTTAGCATGAGATACTGTCATAGTTCAGTGGAGCAGCAGCATATCCATATACAAGAGAGGCCAGATTCATTTCTTGGAGAAAGAGTGAGAGAATTGTTCTCCCGCCCCAATGCAGTGCATTATAACCAACCAGAGTAACAGCCCTGAGGACCAACAGCTTGGTCTGATTTTGTTAAGCACCTCTGGCATACAGACACAGAGACATTCTCTCCCACTCCACAGCGTTCCTTATGGACATCGTGTCTACTGGTTATTTTTCTAGTACACCTCATGATCCATCTTCTCTCCCACCCTCCCCCGCATTCAGCTTATGGCAGTGTCAGTGCTTGTCTCATTTCACCAGAGGTGGGAAGTCAGGAGTGTGTTGATCTGTTCAGACCTCTTCCATCACTGTTGCCTATATGATGGTGGCAAGTCCATTGGCAAGAAGTGGAATCTAAGCCATGGAGAACTCAGTGCCTTGCTCTAAGTCAGTGTTCCACCATGGGAATCTCAGGGGAGCATACAGACAGATCTCTGTTCTCTATTCATCATAAGAACAGAGACATAGCAGAAACAATCACCACCTTTATCAAATAGCATCTATTACCAAGTATATTTTGATAGTCAGCAAAGAAAAATGAAATCCACCCCAGTACAGGATCCTGGTGCATTTAAAAATTGTGTATCTTACAGCTCATTTCCTAAGGAAAGACACAAGGCCCTGGGAAGACAAGCCCTTAAGCTGCAGCTGGCTTTTCATTGGTCACTGCTGCTGTGGTCAGATACCTTTTGTGGTTGGCATGGCACTGGGTGGAAAATAGCTTTGCCTCTGTGAGTACTGGTTGGCTGAGGAAAGAAAGAAAAAGAATTAAATAGCCTCATATGACGCTGAATCAGCAGACAGTTCCTTGCTAAATAGGTCCTTAATTTCTTTCTTAAATAATAAAAAGAGAAGGGGGAACATTTTACAGCAAGTTCTTCGAAGAATATAACTTGTTATGGATCATTCTTATGCTATCTTGTGCACCTTCTCTAAGTCTTCAAAAATACTAAGCTTCTGCTAATGTATTTAAACCCCATACTGGGTCATAGATCAGCCTAAGGTATGCAATACTAAAGTGTACAAGTAATACTTTTGTTGCAGGGTTTTTTTTTCCAAAAAAAAAAAAAAATAAAAGTACAGCAGAAAAGAGGAGCATGGAGAGTAGTTAAGTGGAAACCAAATGTAGGAAAGAAAAGAAACAGGAAAAACAGATCCATATAATAAATAAAAATGAGTGCCCAGTTTGAAAAGGATGAAGACTACTGATCTATAGTTAAAGTCAAGACTATGCAAACCAACCAATGAAGTTTTATTCTTGGGGTCACTGCACAAATTATAAAAGCAACTTAGGTCTGCCACCACGTCATCCCATTTGACTCTTAGATGAGTGAACCAGCCTACATGAGAGATGTTTGCAAATATTTATCATATTGGCAGTCTTCATTTTTGGATACTCCTATGAAATAGCTTAAATTGCAGTCCTATACAAACTTTCCTGTAAGTAAATCCTACTGAACTCAGTGGGACGGACTTCTGAGCAAATGGGCACAGCACTGTTCTGTTAGGTGTGCATCTAAAAGTGTAAGTTAGGGGGGGAAACTTTTGTTTTGAGGTTACTCTAGGTAACACAATCTAATCCTTACTGTAGATTATGTTTTCATATATGGAGAAGTTGAAGCACCACCGTGAGACCAGCCTATTTTGACAGAAAGGAATTGTTCTTCTATTTTACAAGAAAGGACACCATCCAATGTGGCTGCTGTAACTCTTTGAACTTGGAAGATTTCAAGCATTCCATCAAGTGCAGGAGAAGTGCAGATTGTAGAGATCCTGATTTTGGTTATCTATGTTGTTCACTCTATTTGTGAGGAAGATGGGCTGAGGCACTGCCAGGATTCTTTGTATCCCAGCAGAACCACACTCCTCCTCTCCCTGCCTCCTGAGTATGGCAATCCCAGCATTGGGACTGAAGTCACACTTGCAACTTTGGACCTGCAGCCAGCACAGAAAGGACTGTGCCAGCTAAAAGGGTGGAGGGAAACTGTTCCGGAGTCAGAGTTCCAGAATGCATTTCTGAAGTTGAAGCTGGGATTCCAGACTTCTATGGCTACTACGCAGCATCAAGCAGCCACAGAATTATACCCTAACATACACATATTTTTATGGAAAAGAAATAGTACAAAGCAAGACAACTTTAGTGGTTTTTATTATAGTATATTGCATTCTTAATCATGCATAAGTAAATAGATTTAAAATATAACACTTTGCTTCCTCCCCTTTATGGGATTTTTCTGTTCTTGAATGCTTTGATTCCATGTAAGTTTATCCCCAAATTGGTTCCATTATTAAAGAGTTAAAAAGAAGAAAATCAGCATTTTTTCATGTTTTCATGATTCAGCATGGTTCCTAGACAGAGGAGCCACTGCCAATCACAATCTTTTTGTGTTCTTTTGAAGGCCATTAGCTTGTGAGCATTGAGCCAGCTAAGTGCGGTAATGCACTAAAACGACATTGCCCTTCTGCATCCCAACCAAAGTAAGCCATTACATCTTCTATGCTGGTAATCAATTATACGAAGGAAATTGAAATAATTTTAGTTACCATGTTCCTATCATTTTTGCCTCAACGATGACTGTGATTCTCCTGCAAAGTAAAATGCACTTACTCTATGTCATCCGTTTTGTATGGCTTAACATTCATAGTGGTAACAAGCCAGTAGCTCCTCCACTTGCAGGATACAGAATAGTTAACCCTTGAAGAAGCACTGAGAAGCAAGCCATCAAGATACATGGTAATTTCCTTGCTAGATTTTCTTCCTTTGCACCCTTTTCTCTTAGGGTTCCTAAAAACTGATACTACAACATGTAAGGTTACAAAACTCCCTAATGTCTAATACTATAATTTTACATCTGACATAAAAGGCAAGCAGAGACTATCTCTAGACAGAAAATTACAGCTTACAAAAGTTCAAATTCAGGCAGTTACTCCACACTGAGAGCATAAGAATGAGACATTTCCACGCATCTACAGTCTGTTTTAGCTGAGAAAAACAGGGCTGTTGTTGTCATTCCAAGGAGACAAGTCCATCATATATTCTTCTAATATTTCACACCTCAAAAATAGGGTAACATCTAAGTTTTGAAGCAGGAGCTAATGTTAATTGATTTATTTATAGTATATATAAAGTTAAAATGAAGCCACACATTCAATCATTAGATAAGGATTTTTTTAAAAAAACTGGATTTTGATAACATACCTGTTTTGGCTGGTTTTACAGGTTTATCTAAAGTCTGTTTCAGATGTTTGCCATTTCCTCCAAACAGAACAATCTGAGCAGCAGCTCCAAGTATGTAATCATATGTAGAGAGCACAACTGACTTGGTACTTCCCTAGTGGTTTTTCTCCTGTCATTGCATTATCAACATTATTATTACTACTATTATTTCATTTCTATACTGCTAAATAATTAATGCTTTCTGGGCAGTTAACAGCCATTCATAAACACTGGTAAATAAAAATACAAATCTAATACATTTTAGCATAAAGTTTCCATATGGAACATTAAAACATTAACTGCCCCAGGAGCCTTTGGGCTGATGTGGGGGTTAGAAATATAATTAATTAATTGTTTAAGCAACCAAAAAAAATCAGTAAAAACTAGATCTGTTAAAACAGCCAAAATGTCCAGCTTAAGGACACTTGAGAGTAAAGGGTAGCCAAAAGAATGACAAAGTTAAACAAGACTAAGGCATTCCCACAGCGCAGTCATGCTGTAATGGAGTAAAATAGAAGGGTCAACAAGAACAAGCATTTTCAGAATCTTGAAATAAAGATTTGTACTCCACCTTTCTTTGAAGAAAATGTGAGAATCAAAGAAAAAGTGGTAAAACAATGTGATTTAAAAATACAGACAGAATATAAATAGCACCTGACCCAACAGACGTGCCAAAGGTCTGACTGAGTAAAAATGTCTGCCTGCCAGAAGGACAGCAAAGAGGAAGAAAGCCTAACCTCTTTCAGCAAGGAGTTCCTCAGTCTGGGAGCAAGCACCAAGAGGGCCCTTTCTCATTTCAGCATCAAATATGAACCTGAAAGCAGCAGCACTGAGAAAAAGACCTTCAATGATATTAAAACTTGTCCAGCCCCAAACCATATAAGGCTTTATACATCTTAACCAGCCTTTTGAATCATGTCCAGAAACAGACCAGTAGTTAATGAAGCAGCTGTAGCGAGGGAGTCATGTTTATCCTGAAACCAACTCAGGCCAAAAGTCTGAGTGCAGCATTTTGGACTAGGTGAAGTTTTCAAACAGCATGTCCAAACAGTCCAAACAGGATTAAGAGCTAAAGCATATCCTATTCATTTGAATTGCTGTCACAATATGGCAGCTATAACTAGGACTGAGCAATTTCTATCCATTAGTTGAGGCCCCTAACCCCTGAAACAACAGAGAATAAGTGTGCAACCTCTTTTGCATGATGACACTTAAACTGTTTGAAGACATCTGATATCTCCTCTCAGTCATATCACCTCCCACTACCTCAAACACAATATTTTTTAACAGTGAGTTTACACTTCAGTAGTGACTCCTTGTATGCCAAGTAAGCAAATAATGGGAAAACTATATGATCTAGCCCTACAATAACAAGAATATGTAAAAAGAACTGAAGTTCAATCAATGTGATCACCTCAGCATGCAACACAATGTAGGAGTAAGCCTTGGACACATCTGTGCCTTCCTATGTAGAGTGCCAGGACTTTCATGACTTGCCAGTTTGTGTGATCCATCCACCCATGTTTGTGTCCGAATGATCAACATAAGGGACATACACATGCAAAAAAGTACAGCCTGGTGTGTCCATCACACCTGAGGCAACTGCAGGAGTTTATTCCTGTGGCTAACATGTAGCAACATGTAGGTGGTGAGGAATGAGTGAAGAAACATTACTTTTGCGGAAATGACCTTGTTAACTTAACCAGTGACTTATCCAGTCATTACGAGGACTTAGCTATCATCTCCCACAGCTATAAGTTTGGAGCATAGGAAGTTACCTTGGCTGAAAATATTGGCTCATCAAGCTCAGACTTGTCTGCATTGACCAGGTACACAAGGGGGTTTCAGCCCTACTTTAACATCCCAGAGGGCGGGGTGCGATAACTGCTCCCTGCAGCCTGCAGGTGCCCACTTGTTTCCCTCTACCTATAATTCTAATTCTTTACAGGGGTCTCTGGGCTTCACACCTATGTGTGCTGTGCCTGCACAGTGCCCCATTCGGAAAGATTCCTCTAACTGAGCCTAGAATTTTTGGTGGGAGCCCCACCTCCCCTTCCCCATTATATAAATAGGCAGGCTCCAGCCATTTTCTCATTTCACTTTCTACTGCCATTTGCAGTGCCTTTGGATCTCTAGCTATACAATTACCTAAAAATCTTTCTCATATTTGAAAGCTGCCCCTCATGATGGCTGTTTTGCTATTTTGCTGTCATGTATCCCACGTTTATTATTTTATCTTGCATACCTTTTAATGTCACTGGCTTTGGGATTTGTGCATAATAAATGCCATGAAATATGGGACAGGTTTTTCAGGTTGCCTTATTTTTGGCTTTGAAGACAGCCTGACAACCCATGCCTTGCAGCTTATGTTTATATCCTATCTTTTTTTTTCCTGCAATGAACCCAAGCCTACACAATCCACCTCCTCTCCAATTTATCCTCACAACCCTGTGAGGTTAAGTTAGGTCACCCAGTGAGCCTTACGTCAAAATGGGGAGTAGAACTCAGATCCCCCGAGTCCCAATCAAGTATTCCCACCACTTTGCCACACCAGCTTGAATTGGGTCTGGTTGACCTACCACGGATTGTTGTGTCATCCAGAGCTTTCGCTATTGGGCAGTAGAAAAATTTAATAACAATGTAAATAGAAATAAATCAATGAAAATTTTTTTGATGAACCACAAGATTCTTTATCGGTTTTGCTGCATACATTGATTCTACAATTTACGTCTGAAGACGGAAGCCGATCACAACGCTAGAAAGAAAAACACATTTAGCAGGGCCACCCACTTCTCTTGTACACGTTTTACTCCAAATGCGCCGCACGTCGTTCAAATGAGCGCGAGGAACCCTTCACCTAGAGCCACGCCCACCGAGGCACAGAGGGCGCATGTGCCTCCTCTCTCGAGGCCTCCGCTTTAAGAGACGCAGAAGCCGCGCCCACCCGCTCCCCGCAGCTTCCTCACAAATCACAGGCGAGCCGGTGTACGGGACCAATCAGCGACGCTCTTAGTTCAAGGTGGGGACAGAAGCCGCGCCTGCAAGCAAGGACGGAAGATGGAGGCTGTTTCTGAGTCCATGGTGCCGGCGGAGAACGACCACCTATCCAGTCTCACCCCCGTAGTTCCCGATAGGCTCCAGCAGCGAGAAGCGGGGCGGCGGGAGGAGGTGGAACGGCGGCGGCGGGAACGCGACGCGCAAGTGGTGCAAGAGGAGCAGAGCGATTTCTTCACCGCCGCCTTCGCTCGCGAGCAGGAAGCCGCCGAGGCTTTGCTGGCAGCGGCGGTAGAGGAGCCGGGCCAGGGCGCCGAGACCGTAGCTGAGGCGGCCCGGAGGCTGCAGGACTTGCAGCGGCTGCTGACGGACTCGGTGCGCTTCTTGCCTCCATACGAGGTTCGGCAGGCGCAGGCGACACTGAACCGGCTGCAAAGCACTCTGGACGCGCGGCGCCTCCAACTGCAGCCCAAGAAGCGCTTCGCTTTCAAAAAGGCCCTCAAAAAGGAGCCCGCCGCGAATCCTCCGAAGCCTTCCGCTCAGCCGTCGGCTCGGGAAGGCCGCAATGAGGCGGCCTATTCTTCACCGGCGGATCCTGGCTGTGGGTTCAGCCGAGCCGAGGGACAAGAGCTGGAGATGGGACCGGCCGAGCTGCTGCAGCAGGACGTGGTATTGTCCCAGCTGAACCGCTGCCGAGTGCGCCTCCGCGGCAACCCCAACACTCTTCTGGTACGCGACTGCCGGGATTGCATGGTGCTTTGTGGGCCCGTGTCGACATCGGCACGGGTGGACGGCTGCAGCGGGTGCGTCCTGGCACTTGTCTGCCAGCAGCTCCGAACACACTGCACCACCAACTCGAGCTTCTACGTACAGGTGACCTGCCGAGCTATGCTAGAAGACTGCAGTGACGTCCGCTTCGCCCCATATACTTGGAGTTATGCGGGCATCGACGCCGATTTCGAGACTTCCAAACTCGATAGAAGCAGGGACAACTGGAACCTGGTCGATGACTTCAACTGGCTGGCAAGGAATGAAGCCTCTCCCAACTGGAGGGTGATCCCTGAAAATGAGAGGATTATTGACTGGAAGTGACCTGTCACTGCTTTCTCTCAAAGGGCCTCTGTGTTTTAGAAAAATAAATCATCTTAAGAAGAGATGGAACTAGAGTTGCAATAAGAGAGACCTGACTGATACCTTTAATGTTCTGTATCTGTTTCAGCAATGTAATGAGCTTGCCAAAACACTTACACAGTGCTCTTGCTAATGGATGAAATGTGCTGGTGCTCATTTCTTCTGTTTTGTGGGCTCTAAGAATAATTTGGGTCTGTTTTACAGCTTTGTTGCAAAATAAAAACACTGTCATTGATGTGCAAGTTTGTTTTTAGTTTCAGTTATCATGATGTATTTCAAAGGAACGTGACTCTAGGGCAAATTTAAGAAAATGCAAACCAAACTTATACATGCATTCGGCATAATTCTATGAAAGCTTAGCACTTTAAGCATGGGAAAGTTATGCATATGAGTTATTCCCCTGTTGATTTTAGTAGCCTATAACAGGTCTGAAATCTGGCTAGATTGTGTCAGCTGTTAAGATTCCTCTTACACTTTATATGAGAACTTGCTTTCACAGACTTAGCAGAATTTCACATTTGGGTTGTTCTTGTGCAAGTGTATACAGGTCCAGGCATTTCAATAATATACTATTTTTGCAAATGTCATATTTGATAAAAGCAGTTTGTTTCTCATTAGAGGCAGTATCTTTCTCTGCTTGTTAGTTGACATCAATGTTGTTGGACTACTTAAGTACATAAAATTGGAGTTCATTATTGTGCACCATCAAAAAAGTAATTTCCAGTACCAAAATCCTCTCCTTTGTAGTGATGTATAGTTTTGAAAATACTCATGACCCTCAGCCTCTGTTCTACAAAATCACATTTTTGTTTGTTTTTTACTTGTTTTTCTTCCAAAATATGTTGTGTCTGGTAAGAATAACTAATGACTTCTCAAATTAAAAAAGTCATACTGAAGGCTTTGTTGTGAATTTGTTTAAAAAGTTGATATCAGGTTATCCTGGGACCCTTCCTCTCTGTGCCTCTGTTATAACATCGAAGTAGGGCTGTTGAATTTAGGCTCTATTACTGCTTCTGCCAGTGGTAGGGAGGAATTAGCATATATCTTAAGTACCCAAGTTTTTAGTTAACTTGTATACCACCTTTCCACCAAAAAATGGCATTGCTACTCATTTCAGGTATCAGTATGGCTGTGAAAGGCGAACCATAAGGAAGGCTGAGCGCTGAAGAATTGAGGCCTTTGAATTGTGGTGCTGGAGGAGACTCCTGCGAGTCCCTTGGACCGCAAGGTGATCAAACCGGTCAGTCCTAGAGGAGATCAACCCTGACTGCTCTTTAGAAGGCCAGATACTGAAGATGAAACTCAAATACTTTGGCCACCTAATGAGAAGGAAGGACTCCCTGGAGAAGAGCCTAATGCT